TGAAAAATACAAGGGGAGTCTTTATGGCCCAAAATAGTGATTTTAGACCACATTGGTAATGTAATTCGACAAGCAAATTACAGTAATATTTTTAGCAAATTTCTTTGAAAAAATTTCGTAGTTATAGGGCCTAGGCCTAGTTAGGTATACAGTAATTTCATTTTACTGTATTTTGGAACGATATCAGGAGTGGGGGTGGTGGCAGTGCCCTACTAGGACTACAATTTATTTGAAGCTTTCTTGGGTCCGATCGTCTGTCACCTGAAGTTTTCATTACGATGATCAAGAACGTATACTATCTAGGCCCTAGGCTAGGCTTAGATTGCTGCCGTCACTCTGCTACGTATACTACTACCGCATAACAAAGAAAGCGACCCACGCGGTGCATTCTTAAATTTTACACACAATACACGATAACATGATATCACTGACTGAACGATCTACCACCCTCGCATCGCAGTAACTACTGTATTGAACTAGGCCTAGCTTTAGGCCTCATGTTTTTGTGGAAAGTTGTTATGTACCCGACAGTCGGCTGCCTTTATATCTTCACTTGTCTTCATTTGCATTCAAAGGGTAAATTGCTGCATAGCCAACTGTCGGAGATATAATACCTCCATATGACTACTCATACAACAGAAAAAAACGTCGCATGGAGATTTAAATGAAGAATTAAACCTTTTTGTTTTATTTTAGGCCTTCTTCAAAATACCTATGCCACAGTAGTTGATTTTTTTTGCCGTAAAACCAAAATAGTTTCATCCATGCCGACCGGTTATCGTGAGCCCTGACTGAACTCAGAAAATTCACATCGAACTTCTCATCGCGAGGTAAAACAAATTGTCGGAAAACTTTTCTTTGACGCATGCGCATTTGCATAAATGTCTACACACACACACACATACTACACACAATAAATAACAAAGGAAAAAGAAGAGTGATTACAATAGATCCTATTGCATGGCATGCATAGGAACTAATAAAAAATACAAACAAGAAGCAAAGCACAACAAATTTTGAACATATTTAACATTCATTATAATTATTGATACTACTATAGAAATAAACCCCTACAAATTTTATTCATACTAAATATTTGGATCTTGTAAAATTTACCTTTGTGTCGGAGACAACCGAAGTGATGATGCCCCGATACCAATTATTATCTTGGGAAAACTTTGCACAGCAAAGCTTTCCTACTTTAGGTTCAACTATAAACTCTGCTGCAGAAGATGGCTGAAGTAATTTAAAAAAAATAAATCAAACGCATTTAAAACTTCAGAATTATTATTGCCATTTGCGTAGGCAGATTAGACAGTAGTATTTCTTTTTGAAGTTATAATATCTATACACAATTTTTCAAAATTTCAATGGAAATTAAATATAAATATTCTCCAACAGCAACATCTAACTGCTTCAATACTTATTAAGATAAACTTGTATATTTTAAACAAGTGTGCTGCAATGGTTAATGGTTGAAAGTACTTGTCTTGCAGATAGGCAACGAATGACTGTACTCGTTCACAACATTATTGTGTCAAATGGGAAGAATTTGTTCCTACAGCATGACAACAATCATTCTTTAACAATATTTTAGAATCTAATTAGCCAAATTGTACTAACCTTTGAAAAGTGTTTAGCCAAAGACACCATCAAGGATTCTTCTAGTCTCTCCAACCCTGGGCCAGGGATCTGAACACTTAATGTACCATCATCCTCCACATGACAAACATAACCATCAATTTTTTTGCCAACCTAAAATGGATATGAAACCAAGACACCACTGATTTAACAGTGTAGGAACTTGCCAACACAGTGGATTTACCAGAATGATGTAGGTGTAAGCAAAACACAAAATTGGGCAGAGACTAGAGTGTGGGCTTATGACTGGGGGTGGAAATTGGTATCTGTCACAAGCTTGAATACAACAGAATTCTGAAGTGCTGACTTCATTATGCCAGGCACTCACTGCTTTGCAGATGGTCATGGTCGTATGACCATCGTAAGATGAATCTAACTTCACTCAATTAAAGAGACTAGATATTGTGACACCGACTCTTGTTTGTCAGAGGCAGTCTGGGCTGATCGTCACTGACAACAATCCATTGCATGCGCATCATGTCATTGTTTACTACATACATTTGGACTGTCGGGCGCAAAGAGTTCTTGGCTTTAGTTGAGTTGTATCATTTGCCTGAAATATGCAGGTAGTTGACAATTTAATGAGGACGGCGATTTGATTTAAAAAAAATTAGAATGGAAAAACTAGAATCATATCATACGCCACTCTTCATTAATACTTCAGTAACCAATGGCATCAGTATAATCCCATTAAAGACTTACCTTGGGAAGTTGTGGGGCCAAGTCTTCATCTTCAACTAGCTTTGCAAGCAACTCATTAATGTTCACGTCATCTCCAGGACCAGTATTATCATACAGAACTACCTCCATAGGATTGGTTCTTGCATCAAAACAAAATTTGAAAAATATACTCAATATCAACTGCCTATAACTTTACTAGTTTTCTCTCTATATAATTTTTCACCCAGAATAATATTCATTCAAATTTCAATCGTAGCCTATATATACAATAAGGTAATCTTTTGGGTTTTTGTACTTACTGCTGGATGTAAACCAGAACCCTGCGGGTGAGTACATTCCTTTGTACGTAAAAAATCAATGTACATTTGTGAATTGCAATAACTTATTGTATCTTGATGGTATAAGGTAATACAGTATTTTCATTTTCAGTCAAAAAAATCAGAGGCGGATCCAGAAATTTATGAAAGGGGAGGGGGTAGGGTAAGGGGTTCTGAGAAGTGCAGGGATGTTGTTATGCAGGGCGGAGATGGGCGTCGCAGCATCTTGCGCTCATCCGAAGGCTATTTTTAAGGCCTTCCGCCCAGCCTCATACAAATTCTTCTGCCCCCTTAAAATCATGAAGAAACACAAGTTTTTGCTCCATAAACCGTATTTTCCGGTGAATAAGCTGCAAATTTTATACGCGATTTTCCCCTCGAAGTTTAGGATGCGGCCTATACACCGGTCGTTAACCTACTCCCAAAATGTTCAGATCGCGAACCGCAGCGAAAATCAGGCGCCGTCTGTCTAGCTTGGGCCCATGCTCCTAGCCTAATTAATTAGCCTAGGCCTTGAAGGGCTAGTATTTGTAATTATACTCACTATACAGTGCTGTACTGTGATTCCTACTTCATTTTCTACGACAATAGAGCAATGGTTTGGGTTGTTTAAATAATTATTTTCATAGTTTCGTTCACTCAAACAATTTTGAAACACATTTTATTCGAAATCGCTTCGCTCAAAACAATAAACTTCTTTTCGGGAGCTTCATTTATGATGTCGCAACAAAACACACGTGGGCTGTTGAAACTTTCTGTTCGACGTCTGGTTCCCGGTGGCTTGTACCATTATAGAAAGAATATTGATACCGCTATATTTCAAAATAAAAGCTTGTGAAATTAATTTATGCAATAAAAACACAAGTTTTCTTGAAGTTGTAATAATTATTTTACTGGAAATTAATTGAAGAAAGGCATACGTTAGTCCATCACATGCCTCCATAACATGCTGTATATGTGTATAGACGGTCAGTCCATCACATTCTGTAAATTTATAATTTTAAGGTTCTCCCCCACCCAGGACTGTCCATCAGATGCAGTATTTTCTGACCATTATTTTCCCAAACATCATTTGATGAACTCCCGCACCGCCCCCACCGCCAACCCTTATGTTCATCCATCCATCACATGCTGCGCCCGCCAACCCTTAGGTTCGTCCATCCATCACATGCTGCATATTTATGTCCAGAGTTTTTAACCATCATTTCTTGGAAAATAATTCCACAAATGTTGATTTTTATTGCTTGACGGTAGGCTGGTGGTAGGCCAAGAAACCTACTTTACGTAACGGTACGGTATAGTATATCAGATGTGTCTACACCAGGTCCGACGGTGTCGCCCAAAGAGAAGCCTACATTACGTATGTGTCTAGTGGTGAATACACCAGGTCCGTCAATCTTAGCCGTTGAAGTACACTAAAACACTAATAGAACACACAGAACACCTTCAAATAATAGCACAGGTCAGTGGCCGATATGACACAACTATCTCAGCTTGCTCAATGTTTACTGACAGTCGCGAAAACAACATAAAGAACTTTTCAAGGCAGCTCGCGACAGAAACAAAATGTCAGGAAAGTTTGATCCGGCGCATGCAAATTTTCAACTAAAAAACGACTCAAAACTGGTGGTAGGGGGTATATGATTTCTTGCACAATTGCATGTCCACCAGCAACTATCGAACACAATGTATACCTGCCGCGCTGCACCGTTTCGGATCCTATTTGTTTACAAATATGCTGACCTCTTTTGGTTGCACATCTCATACACACATTTTACATGTGAACCATTACCATTACCTAAGGTCACAAAGGAACTAAAAAATTAACTTACTTCTTCCCTGTTTGTTCTGCTATTAGTACTTTGTCAGCAGTCTGGTCGATGAATGCACGGAACACCTTCTCATGACTAGCAAACTGTGCAAGGTTTGCCAGTGAACACCTTACACTCTACACACAGAAATGAACAACAACAGAAAAATTAAATAGCACACTTTAATAAAGGGATGAGCTAAGCAGTTGGTTTAACTGGTGGTAGCCATTGCGCGTGTGTGGAGCCATATATCACTGCTGCATGTTGCTGACATGCAAGTTTAAACTAGCGCAGAGCTTTTCAGATTAGGCCATTGCTTTAAGGTGCAATACAGTCTCTTAAGAAAAAAGCAGGCTACTGTCTCACTTGCGGTGTACTGCCCAATTAAGAAACAGATTTTTTTCGAAATTTGTGGGTTATCTATGGTGTCCACACCCAAAAAATTCTCCACATTATTTTTAGCACACTTACACTCAATAAAGTATCTATAACAATTTTCAGGACAGAAATTCATCTGGAAACAGTACACGTTTACCTGAAACGGAAGATTCAAGAATTTTTTCTCAAGATGTTCAAATTGTGACCAATCCAAGACTTCTCTGTCACCATAGTCAACATAGTGACACATAACCTAAAAGGAAAAACAGTATCACATTATCACAGCATGCAATGCACCTCACATGTAGCTTGCTTCAAATGTGCCACTCGCATATAAACTGCACACTTCAAAAATTCTAGTGTCAATCAATCAATATACCAAAATTTCAAATCCATAACATACTGTATGTGGCAAAGACAAGTCAAATCAGTCACTCGTCGCAAATCCTGTTTCAGGTAATGGTCAAGACATGCTGGATAGTATAATACATACTCCAAGTATGTATTATACTAACATATCTGAGATTAATCAGTGGACCTTTTGGTTTAAGACATGCTGGAATGTCAAAATTTTGGAAATCAATGCACTAAAATAAGCTTTATGTATATATACATCATACTATGCTTTTATTTTTCCCATTTCCAATGTTGAAACAACAGTTTTTAATGATATGGTGATGGTTTCTGCCTGAGAAATGCCCAAATCATAAACTTTATAAGCTGATTTCTCAAATATTGTTATTTAAACAGTTGTATGTTTAAACTCCTGTAACTTTATAACAAAATTTGGATTGAAATGATAGCTCTCATTTTACCGTTTAACCCTGTACTATCATTTTTGCGATGAGTGACTGGTTTGGCTTGTCTTTGCAAACATATTACTAACGAGTACATCTTCAAACTGCATACCTAGATTTATACCTTTTGTCATTAAATAAACAACTTATGCATGCCATAATTTCAAACTATAGCATAATTAACTAAAATCGAATAAAATCTGCTAAAATTATTTAATCAAAAGACTGAATTTACAGATTTCAAATAACTCAACAACAGATAATCATCTAAAACAAAAAAAATACACTAGATATATTTTTGGTTCATTGAATGGTGTGTCAACTTGACATACTTTTTTTTCTGCAAAGCCACAAACAACAACCCTGTACCAACTGTTTCCAGTGCATATAGCATATGCCTTGCCAAGCTCGGGTTTTCCTGATAAACTATTGTGTGATCGCGAACCATAAAAACTGTTTAGTTCTGCTTCTAGTGCTTCAAATTCTTCCTAATAATATAAAATAAACATTTTCAAGTTATACATATTTAATTGCCAGAAATTTTTAAGGACTCTAGTAATAAAATTTTATGACTAATCTATGGCACTGTTTTACTTTCTATTAAAATACCGTGTATATATTTGGTATATTGATCTACGGCACCGATTCACTTTCTATTCAAATACTATGTGTATATACTTATTTACTGAACTGTGGTATTCACCCCAGGGTATTAAAGACAACAAGCTATAAATTTAAATATAATGAATACCTCCTTTTTCTTCAAGACTCATTGCCAACTTCATAGTTGAAGGCATCCGCCCAAGAAGTATAGATGCAGACTTCTCATTCTAGAACTTGCTTCTCCTCTAAGGGTCTCGTCGTGTCACATGCAGAGGCCAAAAAGGTCCACAATGACAGGGACTGTGACCAGTAAACGGGGTAACCCCATACTCGTTTATGGTCCTTATCCGCGAAGACATTTTCCAGCACCAGAAACATAGGCAAGTGTGCCATTCAAATCAGCGCCGATATTATGATTAAAGGTTGCCGCGCACCTGCCTTAACCTTTCGGCCATTCAATATTAATAACCTAGCCCATGTACTTTATTTACAGAATGAATAATGTATTGTATAATTGAGGACAGTATATCTATTTACTCAAAATATTATTTTTATATAGCCTACTTAAAGAATGAATTCCATATTTTAAAAATATGGATTAGTTTTACCAAGCATTAAAATAACATCAACAATAACAAACTCTTGTTGTAAAAAATCTGAATATAAAACACTTACACTATATTCTTCAAACTGAATACAAAATTCAGTGGTACTTGTACTATATGTAACCGACACTTCCCATGGTGTTCTTTCGGGATAGATGAGTGGAGGGGGGCTCATTCCATCAACCAGCTCTTCCTGGCAAAGCTTCTGCGCTATGTTCACATCTTTCTCAGTCACCAAATCCACAATGCATGTATCATCTAATGAAAAGAAAAACAATGACATTTAAAAAAAAGTTGACCGCTGCAGAAAGACAATAATGACATGCAGTTTGGCATCAAATTCAAAACCCCTTTAATTTCAAAACCACTCAAATTCATAACAGAGAAAACCTATGTGAGATGGCCAACTTACTCACTATATCTTCTACTGTCATAAGTAATGGAATATGTTTGGTAAGCTGACGGAATCTGGTGTTTGCTTCGGCACTAAATCTTTTTTCACTCTACAAAATCAAAATATTTGTGAATCAACAAGATAATTATAAAAAGACAGAGCTTTTGTGAAGATATATTCAATACACTGCAGTAAAGATTGTAGCTGACTGTGTGTTATGAATTTGCATGTTAAAAAATGTAGATCATCTGAGAACAGCATAATTGGTACACGCACGGTCCGCAGCCCTCGAAATTAGCGTCGGCGTTCGGCAATGCTGAGGTAATTGCCGACGCTTAGCAAGCTTACCATGGCACCAATTTGCCAAGGCTCCGTTTTTATAGGCCTAGCAAGTGGCCTAAAGAAATTTCAGCTTGTATGCACACAGAATGTTAACATTTTTCAGTTTAGTATTGTGTATAGGTGTAAATTAAAATTAAACATTTATTTTAACCATGTAAAGTAACTAATTTAACAATGCCAAGTAAGACGTGCTTACAAACCAGGAATTACCACAGTTAAGCCGATGTATTCATGCATGCTTTAAACACAATGGTCCAAGCATGTTGTTGTGGCAGGCGGAGGCGAACGATGAGTGCGTGGAAGATTTTTGGTATATTCCGGCCTGGGTACTCTATTCTGTGACATATGTTTATTTTAAAGCAGCCGTAAAATTAATGATTAACTTACACTATTATTATAATATACCATATGTTTTAATGTTGCCGTTTTTATGAAATAAACTTCAATATACAAATAAATTAAATATTGTTAGCAATTTGTTTACCTGCTTCAGAATGGTACGAACTATAAACATTACGTCATTAATGAAGAGAGCAAACACATGTTAAGCTCAAGGGTGGCGTTGAAGGGAAAAATGCTTTCTTGGCTTAAAGCAAACCCTTGCTAGATAGTTAAATAGGTAGGTCTAGAACTTGATCGACGTTAGGCCTAGTCAGGTGAGCTTTTGTTCTGTAGCTGTTGTTTGATGTAGTTTTGATGATAGATAATCCCTTTTAGCTGTAGTTAGGGCATAAGTTAGAGAGACACTAAAAAATGCAAATTGCCAACGTAGTGCCGAGGCGAGTGCAATTTACGTCGGCAATTTTTTTGCCGAGGACTTATCGTCCCAATTTCGAGGGCTGCACGGTAGCCAATGGTTTCAACTCACATATATGGAGATATGGTTTCTGGTTAAGTGCATTTAGCAACTCATGGTATTTTGGAAAAAAGGAGTTTTATATATAAAGCATTTTATTGGATTTATTATGAAACAGCACCGCCAACGTCTCGCAACCCACAGGGGGACTTCCAGCGGCCTAGCATGAGCAACTGGCCAGTTACAAATAGTGCACCGCACAGCGGATAGCACCACTAGACCTTAGCTATAGACGCAACATATATACGATCTTGTTAATTACTGTATATGTGAACATATAAATAGTTTTTTATGACTTAAGACTTGTTTTTAATATACACATTTCGTGTCTTTTCCATTCTAAAATATTTGTGCTCGTTAGTAATTTAATTTATCGTTGATTTAATCCATGTTGGTAACAATGCAGAACGAAATGCTAGGCCTCTGAAAGTCCCCTAGTGGTAGTTGCCAGGTTATCGGAAATTTCCGTTTCAAATTTTGCGAAAATGGTCTATAATGCATTGAAATATTGACTGTTGGTTAAAGAGTTGATTTGTTAAATACTTGAACTGTTATAATTTGTCGTTCTGCACCCAACATCTCTCTACATTACGTGGCAAGATTAAAAGATTATAAGTTAGTCAAATGATAGTATTCAAGAGCAAACCATTACCAACCTGCAATGGATTGATACTGTTTAATGAACACCTAACGGCTTGGGCTGGTTCATTGCCAAATACAGGTGTAAGGAACTGTAATGAAGTTGGTCTGAGCGACTCTTGGTTACCATAATCCAGAAAGAACACTTGTATTTCATCCTGTTCCTAAACAAAATAAAACAATCATTAATAGGACACAGACAATAGGATTTTGATCTACTCTTTAAGGTTGCCCTTCTATCAGCTAACAGCCCCTGGGATCACCACACCACATCACACTTACCTTTCCTTGCTCCACATTGTACACTGCCTTTGGAGCTCGATGTACTTCCAGGATTTTTGCCCTACACCAATTATTGTCTTCAGAATACTGTGCTGCACAGAACTCTCCTTTACTGTACCTGGTCATTGGCAGAGAACAACTCTACAAAATATAGTAGTAGATGACATCTTTACCATATATAGGCACACCATGATTATATATGGACATAAAAACGTTTTTTGTCAAAAAAAATTTAATAAAATGGACAGAGCCTTCGACAATTACGGAGTCATGCAGCCTTTAAATCTTTTGTATTTTAAAATCTTGAAGTCAATAAGCCAAAAAGCACTTTTCAAATGCAATAAATTTTTCTGTTGCCATCAAGTCTTATGTACGTAGAGAAACCTCAATTCACAATTAGTCCAGTTTCAAACATGGAACCATTATACCTATCAAAGTCTAATGGACAGTGGATATACTTTTTAATATCCTGGCTATTGTGTACACCTTTTAATATCCTGGCTTACCTCGCACTGATTGGACAGCCTTTGAGCAATTTCCTCTATTGGGCTATCATCATATTGCACAAAAAACTCACTGCAGCTTAGTATGTAAGAAACATATACAACAACCCTGGACCTGAAAATGGATGAAGATATAGAATTAAAAGTGGACGTCTTCCTAAATTGTATTTGTACACTACGCAACACTAATTATGATAATAAATGTATCAATTTTTGTAATTATTAGAAAGGGGGTACTCTAACTATAACCTTAAATATAGGCAAATCTGAGCTATAGCCGGCAAAATAAGCACTTTAATTTACGCTTTAATGCTTTTACAGGTAAGGTACTCAAGAGCCTTGGATAATTTTAAATTATGAACTGAGTTCAATATGGAGATTATAAGTCAAAAGTATTACTAATAACAATTAAATGAACTTTCAGGCAGTATTATACAACAAAAATAATAAAATATGGCATATTTTGGAAGAACTATAAGCAAAATAAACTTACTTAACAGGCTTAAGCACTGGTGGAGGAATTGTCACTTTGGGTATTTCATTTCTTATAATACGATGCATTTTGCCTTTGCCTTGAATAGTCACTTTTAACTTTGGATACAGTATAATATTATTATGTAACCTGTAAAAAAATATTAAGAACTGGTTTATTAAAAATCAATCATGCTTTATTAACTGTAGTTTTAGTCCAAACTTTTCAATAATTCTCAATATTGGGCTTTTCTGATCGGATGCATTATAGTTTGACCCGACACAAGGTAAGAAAAAAAAATGATTGGTGTCCAAGCACAGCGAAATTTGGGAATTAGGGTCAGTCAAGTTTTTTGGCCTAGATCACCAACCATCACTCACTACAGTGCAAACTGGTCGGTAAGGTGGTAACAACTGGGCTAAAATCCAAGGTTAAGGTATTAAATGTATCCTTGACATATATATATTAATGTATTGTTAGCTACATTTATTCTATTTTCTATCAATGCTCATATATGCTTTCTTTTTTTAAATTATTTTAGTGTACATCAAAGGAATAATTATTAGAAGTAAATACAGTAAATACAGAATTGTCAAAGTAAAGTATAAGTTTCCATTGGGTTACCAGTAGGACAATTATAAAATTTTATGAAAAAAAAAGACAGTATTTTCATTTCGTTATATACATACTCACTATTATTATTAGGTTTCTATGTCCTGAGAGTGCTAATGTGTTTGCCTAAATTTTACTATGTACAGTATATTTTACAAGTAACCGCTGCCAATTAGCATGCATCAGCTCTGTACAGCTTTATAAACCATTTGTTATTTCATAAGATAATTTAATAAAAAAAAAATTTCCATAGGAGGCTTGCTATCCAAAAATAATAGTAATATAAAAATTTACATAGCCCCTTTTGCCAAAGGATACAAGGCGCTTATATATGTGGTCTAGGAACTCAATGACTTTGTTCTCCCCTAAGAATCCCTTGTGTCTGTGCTTCCTGGTAACCTGGTACCAGCAACTCTCGTCGTCCACCACAGGGGCTATCACGTTTAGTACACCACGTATCCCCTACTGGTCTTGAATGATGTACTGGGATCTTTATATCTAGTGCACACGAGCCCTTCTGTACACTGGGATTACAGTTTATAGTCCTATCCCAGAAAACCATAGACGAGCGTGCCGTTGGCCAGCATCAGTGACCAAAAAAATTAAAATTCACTTTTTGTGGGGGCAGTAGTTGTCGCACAACAGTTGACCTTTTCAATTCCAGTGGAGGTCACGTGTAGGTGGATATCTAAACCACAAACTATTACAAAGGAATAGTTGTCCTAGTAATAGGTTAAGGATACGAGTGTCACTGTAATGTATCTATTAACAGGAAATACCATGGTGTACTGTAGTTTATACAATGAATAGTATACATGAGAGTATAATATCAACACCCCCACTTACTCGCATGATGTTAAACCATTAAATCAATCATTTTCCACATCATCGTTTCTATAGAATTAGGCAGCAGACACGCTCCCGCTGGGAGCCTACTTTTAATATATTCTTAATCTCCATATTGTAAACTTTAAAGTGATGGGTCATTTATTGGAACTTAAATCGTACATTGGTGAAAACTGTTATCTTATTCTCAAAGTTTATTCACTTTTAAAAACATACTTCTCAACAGTGACAACAGACACCAAGTCGTCTTCACATATCAACGGCATGTCCTCACAGTACAACTTTCGGTATTCGTCGCTTAAATTCTTCCTCCATAAGCCATGAGGTTTGTCTTCTACAATCTGAAATGCGGAGTACATCAGGTTTCTGAAGATGCCTGTACCATTTATTTAACGTGTGATTTTGTTTCAAATGTTTTTTGGTGCATTGTTAATCATGTTCTTGATCAAATATCAGATACTTTGTTTTTAACGGACCCATTTTCAACAGACCACACTGGAATGCGTTTCAAAATGCTTCTAGTTACTTTGTTATATAAATATATAAGTAACAATTTTTAATTATTTTCTGTTCACCAACCAAAACATAGGCAAGAAGAAGGGTATTAAATTATCAATGATGTTAATTAAGACTATAAATGTTACAAGCCCCAGGTTAATCTTGTATATTATTTGCCGTTTCCAATTGGTTTAATTTACTTAAATATACAGTTAAAGGGTATTTGCTTTCATTTTGAAAACAATATATTAATGCTAAATATTTAGATTTACCTTCTGAATTCTCTGAAGAGCACTTGCTTCTCCTTCATCTTGAGTAAAAAAAAAATAAAAAAAATAATAGGTGCACTTAGGAATATTTAAAGTAAAGCTGTCCAGAAATCAGAGACTCTTAACAATCTGCCCGCCAAACAATGAAACCTCCGTATTTGGTAATGTAACGCTTGACTGCCAAACACCCGAGATCTCAGTGTTGCATGTTCTTTTTTACAGAATCCGATAAATGGGGAAATCATGTACTAACAATTTGAACACTGTATTCAGTCTGGACCGCAAGTATTTCACTATTTGTTGTATACATTAGCGTACAGCGGTATTGATTTACTTTCACGTAGTCACGATTATCTCAGCTTCGTTGTGCTAAATTGCGTAAATCTCCAAAAGCGAATCGTTTTCATTTTACTGTTACAGGTCACAGATTGTGATTAGAATAAAGTATTTGGTACCATTGTAAAGCTAAAATGTTTGTAGTTCTTGTACTATCACTACATGTCAATCCGGTCACATACGCACTCAACGGGCCTCAGAAAAGTGTTGAAATTTGTTAAAAGGTCTGGTGGTGGCTTATACTATTTTTTAAAACCCTGGCGGTCGAGTGTTAATATAGTGTTATATAAGCTTATGCAGCTGCGAATTCACTGGCGGAACTGAACTTTGGAAAATAGTGATTTGAGGTGAAATGAGCTCTCCCATCATCAAAAGTGACTAGAAATCAACGGCAAAGGCGCTAGGCAACAAGTGCTATTTAGTCGCTTGCAATTGTGCATACCTGCATGATCGTGGGCGAAGTTTTACATGAGCGCCCCCAGCCAACTGGTGGACAAGCTTAGCTTTAAACCACACCAGTAGTACCGAATACATTTTTTTTTTCATAGAGGGGATTATGGCTGTAAACTTCCCCGAATGATTTTTGGGTATAAAATAATTATATAGTACTGCAGGTATCACGAGCATCACTAATTAATTAGTCTCAATCAATTAATTGCAGTGCATTGTGGAACATCATTATAATTATTTAGTAGCTTAAACATTTTGCTATTGTTAAACTTACCTAACTCGACAGTCACACTTATTTTGGAGACTGTATTATTCGACCCTTTGAATAGCGAGCCATCATACTGGTCACGAACATCATAAGCACTCGCATTTTCAAACTTCATAATCACACAGCGTCTATTAGGAAATGATACAAATTTGCATAGTGAATTTCAAAACTTTTAAAAATTAATTTATAGGCAGGATTACATCAGCAAGATCTGTAATTATGGATGGCAGGGTTTGAATTTCTTTAAAATGGCCCATCAGCAAATACAGCTAAACCTACCCAAGTTGACCATGCCTAACTCGAATAATTTCTAAGTCGCGAACTTATTTTACATGCCAAACTGTTGTGTTTTTCATTAACAACCTGCAAGTCAAATTTTATCTAAGTCGAACAATTTTCCAGTGGCGATTCAACTTGAGATGTTTAACTTTAGTTGCTGTGGGCTATGGCTTTACTACAGCAGTTTATTATTCTACAACCAAAAGCTTCGTAATTTTTTTAAGAATACAGATAGTCCTATTCTATAAATGAAATTGTACAATCGGGTGACAACAAAAAGCTTGCTGTCGAGCTTGGGATTTACAACAGCAGCAGAAGGCCCTCTCTACAGCAATTGTTGTCGGGAATCTTGAACCTTGTGATTTTCACCTCTCCTCTGGTCAAATCTTAGATAGGCATGATATTATACTCATAAATCAATTTATAATATGTTACAAACAGTACACACTCATCCGAACGCAGACATTCATCTCATAACAACTGATAAGTACTCGTGCCAGAGCATTTACAGGTTCAAACAATATAATTATTTTAAAATTTATTTGTAACAAATTATTATATAATTAGTTACAGGTATAAGCAAAAATTTGTATTTTCATATTGGACAAATTTTTATTTTAATGCATATTATATTCATTTTAAAGTTTCAACTGATATATCTCTTGTGGCAAGACGGCTCTGTAGGTGCTTGTTCATCTGTTCTGTACAGTAGAAACCCTCAATTACGAACCCCGATTTAACGAATTCCCGATTTTACGAATGTAAAATCAAGGTGATAACATCTTAAAAATTGAGGCCAAAAAAAAAAAAAAAAATCCGTTCGAATTGTAACTGTTATTAGCATGCATACAACATAACACACTATACAGTACTATGTAATTCTCAAGTGAAGGAGGCCCTCTAACGGGTCTCTTCAAATTCTGTGTTTTTTTTATGGCTTCATACATGTGCATGCGACAAATTTTACTTCTCTTTTAAACATCGTTTTCAGCTTTTAAAGTCAACATAGTGCTTGATTGTTTTATGGAATGATCAATATATATAATTATCTATGGAACTTGTGTTGCAAGTAAAATTCACAATTTAGGTATTTAGAAAGGTACAAACGTCCGATAAAAACAAGTTTGTGTAGGGCCTAGAGTGGGATCAGAATGCTTAGAAACTGCCTTCTGTAGGCCTAGGCCCCCTCAGACTTAGCTGCGTAGGCCTGTGGGCCTAGCCTAGTTTATGCCAGTGTTAAGTAGTACCAGTGCAAATATATAGGAATTTAGGTCAACCCCGATTTTACGAATACCCGCAATTACGAACGGCTCTGAGCCCGTGCCGTACGTAAATGAGGGGTTCTACTGTACTTGCCTTTCTAGTGTTTTTTTTAGATCAATTTAAGTTGAGTTTAAACAGTTAATTTGAGTAAAAGTAAATATAATTATGTTACATTAATATATATAAATTTTGTTAAGTTAATCTGTTCCAATTTAAATGCTTTGACACAAAAAGTCAACACTTCAAAAGTTTAAGGTTCTTTGCAAGTTTATTTTTATTGCCATTATCATTCCAGTTTTCTTAAACTCTATAAAAAAATTCTTCAAGATTTATTCTCTTAAATTCTATAAATAAATGTCACAGGCATATTTAAGTTTTAGTTATTAAAGTTCCATCCTTATAATGACAGCTATACAGTACATGTCATTTCTTTGATATGAAAGCCACCGTATAAAAGATCCATGCATAATTCATCGAGGTGTATAGTGGCTGTAGAACTTCAAATGACAGCAGTTGCAAATGCTTGTGACCACAAGGCCGGGACAAGTGCAATACTTGTTTAAATATTCAGTTTTGCAGATGTTACGACCTTGCAACTCAAACCAGCAAGATCCTTTTGTCTTTAAGAATCTTGTCTGTCAAATAAATCAATCACCAATTGGCCTTTTAAGTCACAATTTTAAAGTTTCATTTCTTATGGTGCCATTCCCTTTTACAAAGATACTTGCACAGCATCTACAATTAAATCCTCATCTATCCTTTTACTTCAATTCCAAAGAATACCAATATCCATGTGGAAACATCACACAACTTAACCACTTAACTTGTTAATTAAGTAGGACATTTTTTCTTATTGTAAAGTTCTCATTGTATATAATATTAAGTTGCTTTTGAATTTGCACACTTTTGCAAGCATAAATATTGACAAATGAAACAATGCCTAATACACAAAAAAATGACATTTTAGGTTTATTGCAACTATTTGATTAACACTAAAAACTTCCAATTCTTTTTCGCAAGTGAACATTTCTGTAAATATTGAGCTTGCACAATAATCTGCAGGCACCAATTTAGTCAGCAAGGAATAGCTTCTGTCATCAAGGCCGGGACAAGTGCAATACTGGCAATACGGAACAGTTTTACACAGGTCAAGACCTCAATGATGGAAACGATATCAGTCCATCTTACGAGCCTGTTGTTCCTATGTGTCAGCTCCTACACAAATATTCTTATCCACATTTTATGATTCATGAACTTGTACCGTAGTGATTATGAATGGCATGGGAAGGCCGGGACAAGTGCAATACTACCATTATGTTAAAGAAATGTACAAGTCCTGGCCTTTCCAGACTAGTCAAACTTGCAACACACGATGATTATACAGAGAGCATCTATTTCTTCCATGCTTTTGGAAGCTAAATGCTGCGTAAAAGCTAATAAACTGTCAAGTAACTTCAGGCTGTAATTCTTGTTGAGGATAATCACATTCTGAAGGCCGGGAGAAGTGCAATACGGATGACGACCGACAGCATTGCACTGATCCTAACCTCCAGAAATGTAACCATATTAAATAGCTTCCCCAGTAACACCAAGAGATATCTGGAACCGATGTCATCATTAGCATTCTCCAGGCCGGGACAAGTGCAATACGAATTAGGTATCTGACAGCATTGCACTGCTCCTAACCTCCAGAAACGCAGCCATATTACAGAGCTACAACTAATTCACACTGACAGTCATTTGGAACGGGTGTTAGCATCAGCCGTCTCCAGGCCGGGACAAGTGCAATACTTTGCTTGCACACTAGCATTGTGCTTGTCTAGACCGGAAGACGAATTACATGATTTTTGAAGTAACAACTTTCTGTTAAGTACACTGTAGTGCTGTAGACCAATGTTGAATTAATGACTGAAAGGTAGAGTTCCGGTGTAATTGCATATTACCTCAATGATTAATTGAAGTTTGATTTATTGTTTTAATCTTGCCACGTATTCAACGCTTCTCCTGAACCTAACAGCTTGGCTCAAAGGCCGGGAGGAGTGCAATACTTGATACTTGTACAACAGCATAGCACAGCTCACAACCTTCAAGACAAGCTTACCAGCTTCACTCCAGAAATTTCATCTTGTTCGCTTCTGCAAGCAAATTGAATTGTTACCAAGGACCTATTCTCCACTGGGAGTTGCAAGGAATAAGTCAGTCATGCCATAATTCCTTAATCTGAGCACATCCACTAGGCTAATAAATACTCACCTTGCTTTATCTAGACGGGCATCCACTGGTTTCATATCTTCAAAGTGCTTCTTGATCAGATCCTAAAAAAAAAAAAAAAAAAAAAAAAAAGCCTCAATGACCATAAAATCTGTAACAATTAAAATTTATATAGAGAATATAAAGCCAAATTTGACAACACTTGAGCAATCTGTAGATTATATTAAAAACATATTACCTAATGAACTGTAAGAGGTCCGAGTCTCGGGGTTTCAAGAAGTACTACCACGAACAAGAGGGCATCCTTTAAAAGGAGAGTTTTAAACTATATTCAAATTCTAATAGGGCGCCCCCCACCAACCCCTATTTTGTGGTATACTTTTCTTTGTCTCATTGTGTGCACACAAAATCAGGGAAGTCGGACCTCTTGTAATTCTATATTCTTTGATTATATACATATAGACTTATTTTGAAGTCGTAAATCAGGTGCTCAGTAATCATGGCACAAAAGAGACGCGACTAATTCTTTAAACTAATCTAACCCACCACACATGAACTATTACAAACACGTCTAACATTCATTCTGTATTGCTACATCTCAGATTAAAAATGATTGCACCAACACTTTCTCATTCTTTAACAGCTCAGTATATTTATATTTTTAAGTATAGAAAGATGAATACAAGCCCAGAAAATTTACTTGGTCAACACATTAAGCAATGCAAATCTAAAAGCAGAGAGAAAATAAGAATATTAAACGACTAACAGTATCTTGAAAATGATTATTCTGTTCTGAATTTTCTCTTTGAACTTACTGGAGTAAATGATGATGGAAGATTTGATATTGCCACTGATTTACTGGAAGACCTGGCATACGGTTTAGTAGGCTTTGCAGACTTTGCTCCTAGCCTCCGTTGCATGCGAGGGGGTAATTCACTTTCAACATTAGAGTTTGCTTGTTGGGTTGAAACCTTAAAAGATAATGCATGGTTAATAGACAGGCAGTTACATATTTTCACATTATCCTTACTATTTTTTTTAAAGGCATTTAGGTAATGTTAAATACTACAGTCTTGCACTCTGTCATTAAATATTCTATATCATCTTGAAGAAAAATAGTGCAATCTACCTTAAAGATTGAAATACTTTCAACAGCTTAGTTTTACAGCAAAAAATTTATACTGTTTATCGACCAAAAAAATCCGTATTGTTTATTTTGATATGATGATGATGTTTTTCTTTTATTTTTATAGCTGAAATATATAAGGAATTATTTTAAACATAAATAAACAAATAAGTAATTTTCACTCAAATTCAAAGAGGCATAGAGTAACAAAGTCTTTAGCAGATGACATTTAGCTACATCATCAATAGAAAATGTGGCTACTGCTGATTTGAGTAAGGTGTGCACTATATTTACCTTGACAGGTTTGAGTGAAGGTCCAGATATGCCATTTCTGGGAACACTACTCAACAATGGACCCAAATTTACTCGTCTTGCTGAGCTAATATTCCTGCGTGGGATATTCGCTGGAGGTCTGGACTTAGTGGCTGACTGCGGTCCATAATTTCTTTGTACAGGAGCCCTTCTAGAGGCAAAAAAAGGAGGCTTCGATGGATAGCGGCTCGTCTATAAAAACAGAGTGAAGAAATTAGAGAAATACCAATTAACTGGCACAGATGAATGCAACACATAAAAGCTTTAAGTGTATTTGCAGTTTCATGCATGTTAATCAATACAGATGTACTTATTAACTACAATACCTAATGTTATTTTCTTCATAAATTTTGATTGTGCTGGAAACGAGAATAAAAAAAACCTACAACACTGGTACTAATTGACAAAATAGATCTGGTCACTTTCACTGCAAGTTTTTTTTTTAGCACTTCAGTTTACAACTTGGCTTTTAGATTAGTAGAATATTAAACATGGTAACAGGATATATCATTCCCATGACAACTGACCTTCTTTGATACTTTTCTCTTCTTTTGAGTCCTTTGCCTCGATACTAAGCTATGAACATGAGCTGAAGCTGCATCAGCAACAGGACAGCATATCCAAGCACCATCACTTCCCCTGTACACATGGAAATAACAGTAAAATATATAATGTCCATTGGGATACAAAAACAAAGACCTTGAAATGTCATCTCCATTAGGACTTTTACCGCAAAACACACAACAGTTAAAATGGAAATAATACAATACACAATCTCTTAGGTTTGACTGTATATATAGCTTGTTTTAAGCAAACATTTTTTTGACGATATCTAATGGAAGGTGGTCAAATAATACAAACTGTTTTTTCATTTACCAAAAATAGTTATGCCAAAAGGGTGGTCATAAAAAAGAATACAATGTTGGGATGTAAACAGTTCAGTAATCAAATTGATCGATGCACAATTGCCTTAATAGTGAATGAAGCATAATTTCTTTTGGGAAGAATTCATAAGGGTAGTAGATTAATATAGCTATGTTTTAAAAACTTATAATTGAAAATATATCATATGTTTATTTTAATATATTCATTGTAAATATATTACTTTATATTTTATATATAATCTACATAATTTCTCACATCAAATCAGATTTCTGGCTGCCCGAATTTAAATGCATACTTTATTTAGATTATGAGTCAGCATTGCAGTGTACACAACAAGTCACTAACACCTTATATGCTTCCAACATCATAATATTGTCAGCTCAAACTAAGCCACACCTACACAAACCTCAGGAATTTCATGATTAACAATTAAAGGATTGAGAATGTGGTTAATCTAATCTACCATACCCACCATATATCTTACCTCTGAATAGTCACTACATCAGGAATAGACTTCAAATACTCTTCCAACGTACGAAAACCGAACCGGTTAAAAGGAATATGGTCACCAATCAGGGACCTATAGTCACCTTTATGATATAAGTAATAATTTTTATAAATTTAAGTATATATATAATTTACAGCAAATTAATCAACGTTTCTTTAAAGAGATTGGTATTATATAAGCAATGTCAATTGGCATTCTGCAAACTTTTTACTTCACAGCCTACTTAAGATTCTGGGCACCATTTCCAGGCCAAGCCACGCAAGGGACTAGCTTGGTAAAGTGCTGACCATGAAAATTACCCACATGCATTACTTGGCCATTTTTCCTTATATACGGGGTACGATTGTACGAAAGTGGATAATGTAAAATGAGCGATTTCTTTAGAATTAATTTAAATTAAATAAATTGTTATATAATATATTGTTCCTTTAAGTCACTAAAAGTTTAGAAAATATGTTTACTGGCTAGTAATTGCAGTGGTACACCTCCTTTCTGCGAAATGAGGAGTGAACGTAGCAGCTTTTTAACATCTTCTGGTTGTGCCATAATACTGGTATTTAATGCAACCGACTTCAAATTTTGCGCAGTGCCATTTAATTCTGAGGACTGAATGCCTGTAGAAGAATAAATAATGATATCAAACACTTGAAATACCTCAAATACCTTTGAAATAGATTATTAAATACATTGCTCTAGACCTCATGATATGTTATTAACACTTAACTTCAGGTGTGGTTTTATGTTGCATGCAAAATAATGCATTCTAAGCATTTAGACTGACATCAAAGTTCCAAACACAAGTACTTCTTGTTACTTCGTATAAAACAGAAATTCAAACACTATCCAAACGCCTTAAACCACTAAAATCATTTGGAATTTAATTTCATGTTGATGTTAAAAATTGCCATACAAATAAATATGTTAACCTTCTGAATACCAGTTTAGCCCTTTATATAAATAACCATGAAATTGTCATCCTAGGACATTGGAAAACTTCAAGGCTCAGTGGCCCCACCACCATAACTACATGCCTGTTAGCTTGAAGAATAAAATTGGGTTCCATGATTGTAAAGGCAATTGATAGGCAAAAAGGCTGAATAATGTTTTTATACAGTAAATGGTAAAATGTTTTTTATAAATGGTCAACTACGTTTTAACATAAATTTGCTTTGAAAATTCAAGTTAGTTTTCTTGACGTATTCCCTGCGCAAACAAAATCACTTACAGTGTTGAAGATCAGTCATTATATGATCCTAGCCTACATCATTTTACGGTCTTTCCATATAAAAAAAACAAAATATCAGATACCATCAACTGCATTTCAATTTTTTAAATGCTAACAAATAAAACCATGAATTTGGTAGCACATATTCCTTGGATAAAAAACAAAACAGTACAGTATGTAAATGGGAGCCCGAAACCTTCCATGCAAAAATAACCAACTTTAATGAGTTTGCAATCAACATAAAAGTCAAAAAATTGATATTGGAATGTCTATCCACCTGTTGCATTTTAAAAATATATTTGCTGCAGGGCATCTCATAAAACAACTTTCATGTCAAAAAAATGTTATCTATTCTAAGGCCACTGACAAAATGATGTCATTTTACGAAGTAAACAGATTCAAGCACCGACTGTCAAACAAAAAGTTGACAAAATTTTGTCAAAATTGGCTATCTAGCCTACAGTAGGCTGCCTAGATTGACTAACACTTATCTAAACTTACTTGTCTTCATTGTAAAATATTATATTAAAACATTATTTATTATAAAAAAACTAATTGTTTAAACACAAACACGATCGCGTTGTGACTTCGCTGTCAGGAAGTACAATGTGGTATGGAAAATCCAGATAGATCGTTCTGGGCATGCGTATAAACATGCATGGGCAGTTTTGAAGCAAACAGTTTGGGTGAATCAATCCAACGTTCGTGTTTTTAAATGAAAGCTACATTTCTCAAGGTGAAGAAATGAATGCAAAAAGATCAAGTATGAACTTGGGCTGATAAACCAACATTGTAAGATAACATTGTTTTGTGTTTAAAAAAATATTTTCACACTCCCTCTTCTTCAAACTAGGATACATCGACAGCATTGTTTATTTTGAATTATTTTACACCATGGCTAAAGATACGGTACCGTATCGGAACTTCCGATTGCTAAAGGTACGGTAAATGATATTATGTCATGATTAGCCAATAGAAATGATAGACTCCATTTTGGCTTTTTTGCAAAGTCGACGTCGCGATCATGAGAAACATGTGGCGCAAACACAAATTTATGTCATAATAGGCCCATTTCATGGATTTCGATTGGGGCTTATCACAATGTTTGGGTTAAAAGTCCTTTTCTGTTGTTCTTGCGTATTTTATGGTCTACCATAGAGAATGGTCTACTAACGCTAGGCTTAGGAGTAGGGCCTAGGCCGAATACCCGCCTAGGGGCCTATGCTTATAAGCGTACTACTAGGCTAGGCTTAGTACTGTAGTGCTACTATTCGAAGCCTAGCCTAAGCCTATAGAATAGTAGGCACTAGTTATTATTGCTGATTGAAATAGCCAACCAAGCAACATGGCGATTGTAATTATCAGTGAGAGTAAACTTTATTTGTAGTAGTAGCTTATAAGCCTACAGTGCGTATACTACAGGGAATTAGTATGCACAGTAGCAGGAGTAGCTAAGGCCTAGGCCTGGCTTCTACTATTAAAATAGTTTACTCTTGCTTGATGTTGCCAAGTCTAGCAAAACTGCTATCCATTTTATTTGCTATAGGGCCTCGGGCTACAGAATATTAATCAACTTGTCAACAACACCCGCGAACGAACAAAATTTCTTATCTTCGATCGTTGCTAAAACCATCTAAAACACACTCACTATTCTTGCAGCAGCAGTGCACTGACGTCGGGCATGTATCGGCGTTTCTATTGGCTAATCATGACGTAATATCATTTACCGTACCTTTAACAATCAGAAGTTTCGATACGGTACCGTATCTCTAGCCACGGCGATTATTTTATTGACGATATTTTAAAGCATCGCGGAAGACGCATCAAGCGTCACGGCCAGCTTAGGGGCGTCACGGTACTGTGACGCTTTAAGGGCCTGGGGAGAAGACCGATTGTAACCGTAACGATCACTGGTAATTGTGCTGAAATTATGCCTGACAAGGCCTGCTATGCCTAAAATAGCAATCATAAACACTGTACTATGTAGGCCTAACCTTACCAGAAAGCACTGTAGTATTTTCCTGCACATGTCATTAGAACTGAAATTCTGTGGTGTGAAAATAAAGTACAGCATTGTACATTCTTTTGAAAGTTATATATTACTGTATGTTGTTGGTTGATTTTTTGGCTAATGTTTACTAGGCCTACTATAGTACCTTTCCATTGCTTTGTACCTCTAAAATCGACTATTTAAGCCCTTAAAGGTATGTTCACACACACACAGCGCAAGGCTGGCGTAGTGTACGCCTTTGTGTGTGAACTAGGCACTCGCACACCTCCATGGCGTTATTAACGCTACCTGCAGACCCCAGATTAGTTAACGCCACAGGGCTTACGCCAGTGATGCTTGAATGATCTGACCTCATTTCAAGAGATTGACCAATCACGATTGCAATAGATTAGTTATTTTGATCTCTTTCCTGTGCTCTATATAAATAAAATGGTAGGCCTAAAGGGGTTCTTTTTCTATTGCATTTTACTTAGTTTGCATTGTATACGATTTGTTGATTGTGTTTTGTAAGATATTTAGACTGTCTATTAAAACCTGCATTAACAATTGTTCCACAATGCTAGCTGAAAAATCAGAAGTAAAATTGTTCATTTAAAATACAATGATCATAAACTTCACTTCGAACAATTCTCAGATTTAAAAGTTTTAATGATGCACTGTAAATATTTTACTACAGTTAAGAACCCGTACATTATTTAAAACTGAAAACTATTCCACCATAGGCCTATATTACTACTAGTTTAACGCCAGCATTAATATAGCGAACGCCGTTTGGAATTTCAATCTGTGGATTAGCTTTAATGCTGGTGTAAGCTACGCCAGTCTTACACCGTGTGTGTGTGAACATAGCCTAACTTTACTGAAATGTTGGGAGGAGAACACCCCCACTACCAAACCCAGACCCCCCCCCCATTAGGGCTTCACCCTCCAATGGCGCTACGTGCTACCTCCTAAATATATTCCTACCTCTTTTCCTCTTTCAGATGTTGGCAGGTATGAACTATAATAGGCCTAAATAATATCAATCTTCTAAGAACAGACATAGGCCTAATGAAGCAACAAATTCTACGAAGTTCAGAAAAAAAAAATGATAGGCCTAGGCTATGACATTGTAGCCTAGTAATAGTATAATATTAGTATACAGTGGTAATGTTTTCTCACCCAAACCACAAAACCACAATTGCCGACTTGGCGCCTACTAACCACGTTGTGACATACAAGAAAGTCAGCCATGCTGCCCATTCATTGAACTAGCAGCAGTAAACTAAGATTGAATAAGATTATTCATCATAAGAACAATTTTGGTGGAAAAATATAACAAAATAATATAAAACTAGTTCAACTTTAGATGAAAGTCAGTTATTGAGAAACGAAGAATACAAGGTACAGAAAGTTCAAGTAAAGAGAGTACGAAGAAATGGTGGCGTACGAAGTAGGTAGCACGAAATCACGAAAACGAGACTAGCTGGAACGCTTGAAAAGAGAAGCAATGCTGGGGGTGACCTGTTCACTGCTTGCTAGCGATTTGTTGACTGACCTGTAAAGAGACTCGAAAAAACACAACTAAAATTCCACCAAACGCAAACTTTACGATCCAAACTATATACTACCGTCTTCTATAGATGTTTAGACAAGACTTGCTTACAAGTATTAAACATTAACAATTAATTTAAAGTGCGTTTTTGGAACCAAAACAATCACAAAAATTCCCGCTTTACTTACCACGTGCAAATGGCCTTCCAATGTAATCAGCTATATGTTTCGGAACATTTCGTTAATTTCCGGATAATACCGTAAAGATTAATCTGTCAATCCCATCAACCAATAACGAAGTATGTATTATAATGGACCAATCAACAAATAGCGAGCAAATAAGTTACTAATTAGTTGTTTTGTTATTATTACTTAAATATAAATAAATATATAAATTAATAACTAGAATGAAAGGGAACGCTTCATCAGTTACGCTAACAATAAAGCAATCATGTGTATTACGTTGTACATTTTTCGAGATGTTTATATGACACGGAAATGTTACAATACCAAGTATGAGACGCACATAGTGCAGCGGAAGTGGCAGTATATATATTTATTGCAATTTATTATTATTACAACTTTAGGAAATTGACTGTAAATTAATATAAGCTGTTAATACATATTTCAAATGTTATATTTTGTATTCTAATAATATATAACAATAAGAATGGTTAATCGATTTAGTTGTTTCTTCTGTCAAAGCATGTATTATCTGTGTGGATTCCATACTATTTGCGCTATTAATTTATAATTTAGTCGTATAGAGGGCAGCACATACAAAAACATGGTGATGGATGGATGATGTGCTATATGTTTCTCATTATTTCATTCAGATCATCGGATCGTGGAAATCCTTTGTGTGTCGTGAACTTGGTAAGTTTTGTTTCTTTCGAAATATTAAATTGCTCACGCATTGCTGCAAATATCATGTTGTTCTGTGCTTTATAATATGAAAAATAAGATACCTAACTAGGCCTAGGGCGCCTAGGCCCTTGGCCTATATATGTGGCCAGTTTTTAATTGACATCTCATACGAATCGTAACGTCAGCTAGCTAGGATGCTGCTGATATAAATATATAAGGGTCAAGGAAGGCCTGTCATATAGGCTTTCTAGGCCTTCAAGTTCTAGCTAGGTAAGAAAGATGGCAGGTTAGAAACGTATATAGGCCTAGGCTACGTTAAGTACTGTAATGTAGAGTGAAGAAGGAAGTTCAAGCAACGTCTGAAAGAGTAAAAAGTCCTAACCTACTACACTACTACTGTGGTGTTGGGAGGGGGGGGTGGTGTGAGGGAAATGAATTGTTTGTACAAAAAAAAAGTATCCAGCAGCTACCAGCACTTCATCATGGTATGGTAACCTGTCATAAATAAAATATAATAAAATCAATTTCCTTTTTAGATTACATATCCTGATTTGATCTATATTATTTTGGCAGAATACGGTACCGTACCATAGGCATTTGCCTATCTAAATAACGTTATTTTGACTGCCAATCCCTACCTAAGGGCACATAGAAAAAATTATTAGTATTAGATTATCACTCTTTTTTTTTTTTAATTTATGAAGAAGGGCGGGTTTTTAAAAATTTTTATAACCGGTACAATAACTTATTTTGCTTTTGTTTTTATTGATGAGGGAGGGACTGTTTATATTTGGCCTGGACCGGTAATAGCACATATTGTATAAAAACTGGTTTAATTTTATAGTTTTTTAAAGAAAATGATCTTGAAGTCACAAAATTGCATTGTTATTTTATGCTGTTGAAATAATTGATGCGGTAAAAAGAATTTTTTTTTTATTCCCGCATCAATATTTCCCGAATTTTTGACGCGGACGGGAGTGATAATATAAATTTTTCTATTTGCCCTAATATTGTGTTCTAAAAGCACATTTTAGACCATACTAAGCCATAAAAACTGTGAACCCTTATAAGGGAGTTTTTATTCTGGGCCGTTGACCAAGGCCTTGTCAACCCCTTGGCTCGGAACCCTTAGTCTGATATGTCAGACCCCTTTTCGGCAACATTCTGGCGCCACCGCTGGCTGTCGCCAACCCTGACCTTCTTTTTTATTTACCAAAATAGCATGGGGTACCATACCTCGAAAGGAGACACATCATTTAATAATATTAATATTATACTAGATCGATGTATTTACTACTGTTTATATATAGTCAAAACCAGACTGTATAGTAAGGCCTGCCCTTTGAAAATACTGTATCATTCACGCTAAAATTTGGCCTACAAATCTTTCTTCACATTTTAATCTTATGTAAACAATGTATTATGCAGTAATTATTATTTTACGCACCTACTTTTCCTAGCAATTTTCCACGCAAATTATGGTTTTAAGGTATCATTCAAACAATTAAAAAATTTTACAGTATGGGTCAAAAGTAGGCCCAGCCTGCTGCCTGGTTGTAAAGTACCAGTATAATAAATCTGCTTAGTTGACAAAACTAAAGGTACTAAAGCCACTGTGTGTGCGCCAAACCATACAGATCCTTTCAGATCTTTTAGTACAGTTTCGTCCTCTGCTCTTGTTTTGTTTAAGTTGTAGAGCTGAAATACATGTTACGATAGCACATCATATTTTAGATGCGATGTTTATTCGTTGGTCCTGTTTGTAATATATTGCACATGATGTTTAAAGTATGCATACTCTTCGAAAAAAAAGAAGGGGATTGTCTCAATGTGTGCTTACCACCCAAACTGGAAAGAAGTCTTAGGACTTAGTGGGTTATCCTTGGTGCGATTCAAACTGGAATACTCATATCCTGTCTTAAACCTACCCTACCCAATTTATCCTGATGCAATTAAAGTCAAAACCTGGCCTATGTAGGTAAATAAAAAAGAATTATTTGAAAAAATTAATAATTTTAATGTAAGGTTATTTTTTTTTAGATTACTATAGTACAGTACATCACAATAGAGAACACTTCAATAGTAAGAATTAAGAATACATATTTTAAAATTCAGACCTTTTAAACTTATAAAATTGTGCAATTCACTTTATGTAATCAAAGCGAGTACTGTAAATTAACATAATGTTTTGTGCAAGATGAAATTGTCTTTTTTTGTGAAAATTGTGCAATTTATCTTTTTTTTTCAGTAGTCTTTTTGTGTGGCAAGATTGTGATCTTTTCTGCTAGATAGAAGAGTAGATTCAAGATTCAAAATAACTTTTTTGCAAATTTAAGGAAAATTTGAAATCTACAGAATAACTCAATGTAACAATATTAAAAACTATTCTAATATGATTTGTTGTATGAGACATCAGAGGAATACTGTATGTTTTTTTGCCCAAAGTATATCATTAACATATTTTTATGTGCAATATATTTCCTTTGTGAGAGAGGATTTAATATCAGTTCATCTTGGGAAGACCTTTATTTTTTTTTTGGGTGCAAGAGAAGTTTGTTATTTATAATGTTTGCAATCAAGATGATAATCTGCATTTGACAAAGTACCATATAGAAAAAAAAATTATAAGACGTGAATCAATAGTTTCAAGATTCAAGTTTCAAGATTCTTTTATTGGTCAAACACAAGTAATAATGTAAACATTAAACATGGTTGAAAGCTTTGATTGGTTATGCATAACATTTATATATTATATTACATTGTCTAAAATCTGTTACTAAAATATAAAACATCAAGATACACATACTGCACTAATAACAACCATTGATAAAATTTTAAATGTTACAAGCATGTCAAAATATTTCAACATTAAGAGGAGGTAAAATATTAAAACACTAAAAGCAGTTAAAAAAGTAAAAGAATTAAAAACAGCATTTGGCTGTTTATCGTTTTAAAATATCAATAAAATCTATAGTATAACCGCAATTATGGGTAAACCTCCAGGACCAAAAAATGTCTCCTTATAGGCATGTCCTCTTAATAGGAGTACTCTTATTTAGTTTCCTAAATAATAGGGATGTTTAATGCGTAGTTAAAAGCAATGAATTAAATACTAAATGTAGTTTAGGTTTAATTGGCCCACGTATGAGTTATAATACAAGTGTTTGTGTTTAAAACAATAATTATCAATGTCAGTTTTATACATTTCACAATAAATATAAATTTGATTAAAACAATAGAATTTGTATTTACTTCAATTCAAGATAATGTGCTATTAATGGATGATCAAATCTTATATATTCTTACTACTGCATACACAAGGCTGCTGAATAGCTTATATGGATTTAAAGGTTCAGCTTATAATATTCCTATATTTGAGAAATTGCCAAAATTTATAAAATATTGTTTCTAAAGGAACAAATACTGTGGAATAATCCAAGTATTGAAATCCCATATGAAAGTACTTTTTTTCACAGGGACAATGAAAAATTAATCCCATGGCTAAGGGCCAAAATTGACTAGATTATTTTAATATTATATACAGTAAAGTA